GCGGGGGGGGGCCAGGCCTGCGGTAGGAACTCGGGCCGCGCGGCCAACGCCCGCAGCCCTAGGCAGGGGGGATTTAAGAGACACTAGGGGTGATCTGGGATGCGCGCCTCCTCCTGGTGGAAATTAACGAGGAAAGTGCTGGGAAAGGTGAGGGAATCCCCCTCTTTCCCCCCGCCCCGGCATCCTTTGGTGGTTTCTCATTTTGCATACAGTAATTTACCTTGGGTTGGAACAAAACCGCTGGTGAGTCTCGTGGAATTAACCCTGATTCGGGCACCTTTGGCTGTGACGAGTTAGATTTAGGCGAGACAGACAGCCGTGCAAATCAATAGCAGAAAGAAAGGAGCTGAGAACATACGGGGGCAGTAGCGTACGCCCAGCAGGTTGTAAGGGAGCTTCAGAAAGTCTCCCCACCGAGTTCCTTAAGCTGCCAACTTCAGATTTAGGTGTAATTAATGCGCTCCCACCTGTCCTGCCCCAACACTTCTTGGGTAGTTAGGGAACTTATGAAGAGAGAGAGACAGCCAACTTTAAGAAACAATAAAGATCCATGAGCAGGAGATGCATTCTTGATTCATTAGCTTTCTTCTCCCAAAATTAAAAACAGAAGGAAGAAAACGGCAGCCAAACCATCCTAGAAACAAAAGGCAAATAGCAAGGACGTGAGTCACTCTGAAAGCCGACCCGGCCACCTCCCCTCCTCCCAGATGTGGCGGGATGTGTCAGTGCCAGCCCCTTAAGCAAGGAGAGCTCACGGGGGAAGGGAAGGGAATGAGGAGCCTGAACTGGGAGAGCAGAAGTTTGGTCCCGAAATCGATCAAACCTAGGGGTGTCCGGTAGGCGGTGGAGGAGAGGACCGAGTTGGGGTAAGGGACAGGTTGAAGGATCTGTTATTATACCTTGTCGGTGCTCTCTCAATAACTCTTATCTCCCTTTGTCCCAATCCAGTAATTTCCCCGAAAAGGTAAGACGATGCAGGTTATTCCAGGCTTTTTCATTTTAGAAAAGAGCAACTAGGAAAAAAAATCGCTGTCAGGAAAAAGTATATCTAGTAATATAAGGGATGCTGAGGTTTGTGCCTCGGACGTGTGCCTTGAGGGTGAGGAGAAGCCCCAAGTCTTTGGATGCCTATTTACTTTTGTATAAAGTATGCAAAATCAACAGCCAAAAAAAAAAAAAAAAAGGCCCAGATAGAAGCTCGGTGGTCTGTAGAGGTTTGTGCAAAAAGCCAGTTTCATTCGTTTGCATCTTCAGCACGTTTATCTAAAGCCCTTTTTTCTTATTTTTAAAAGTGTTTTGTAACATGAATGTGAAGTACTTTGGAAAAAAAAAAAAGAATGTCAAAAGCTGCAGTCATGTTCTGTATCCTGATTGGGGTGGTGGTTATGTAAATCTATATATGTGTCAAAACTCATAAAATTTTGTACACCAAAGGAGTCAATTTTACAGTATAACTTTAGAAATAAAATTAACTACTCATGAGAGGGAAAAAAATCTGTGATAATGCTGTGCTGTGATATTAAAGCTTGTTCTAATCTATAGAGCAGCTGCTCTGTTAGAGATGCATTTTAGATTTTAGAAAGATAATTAATACATATTCTCATCTGATTCTCCAAGCTCAGAGTTAAGAAAGATATCTTTAGTAGTATTGTCTTCTTGTTCCTGTTGTTGTTGCGATTCTGTTTTACAAATGAAAACAACTGGGACTTTTGAACTAATAGTAACTAGCATTGACTGAGTTTCTGCTAGTTGTCAAGCCCTGTGTTGGTCACTTTCCAGATAGTATCTCTTTTACTCTTCACAGTACTCAGGTAGATCCTCTTACTGCAGTTTTACAGATGAGAAAATTGACTTAAAAATAAATTATGGGGGGATGGACAGCAGGTGGTGTAGTGGCTAAGGCACTGGACTCCTGCATAGCCAGCTAGGGTTCAAGTCCCAGATCTGATGGCTTCCTCTCCCTCTCTCCCGTAGCACATGTGCTCTGTACCAAATTTAAAAATAATAATAAATAAAATTAAATATTTCTTTTTAAAATAAATAAATTATATGGTTCATTGGAATGAGTAACAGAGATGAGAGCCAGGACCAAATTTGCCTCCTTCTTATGTCTCACATAATTGAGAGGTTATGCAAGGTCCGACTATGTTCTGTTTAAGCAGCCTAAGCCTCTTCCCTGCTTCTCTTTTGATTGTACTCCTTATCCACCTGCCCTCCACGTTCCTCCTGATGGCAAATTAGTTATATAATAGTTGCAAAATAGGAGCCCAGAAACATAGGACCATAGCTTTAACATGTACTTACTTCTGGCTCTGACACTTACTTGCTGTATCTCTTAAGGTATTTCTATTTCTTAATGTAAAGTACAACCACTATTAAAACTTTAAGGCATTTCTATGAGAATTGAGATAATGTACCTGTAGAATGTACATGTATCGTGATAATATGCGTGTTTAATGTACGCAGCAAAAAGCACCTGTTATTATTGCTCTCTTCCTGTCTTGTATTGTGACCCACTACATCTCTGTAACTATATTAGTGATTGGAGTACAAGGAAGAATAATTTAAAATCTTTTCAAATTGCCAGATTTAACAAAAACCTAGGGCACCTAGTTGAACTTGAATTTAAGTTTAACAATGAACAGTATTTTAATATAAGTATGTCCTATGTGGTATAGTAAAAAAAATGCTTTTTACACTTGAAATTCAAATTTAATTAGATGTCCCATGTTTTAATCTGGTCACAAAGTAGTTACCTGTGGGAAGAACCAGACACAGAAATAATAGCTCTCAATGCAGAAATGAATGCAGTTTTGTGTGTGTATCTTTCTTGGCTCCTGTCTCTTCGAATACATTTTGCTTCTATTTCTGCTGTTTTAAATATGAATGGGGATTATAGTATATGTATTATTCAAATGTTTTCTTTTTTAAAAAATAACCATACATTTTTCTGTGTTCATACATATAGGTACACCTTCTTTTTTAAAGCCTGCAAAATCTACACTTGTTACATACTAGTTTTTTTTTTTAACAGCCCTATTGAAAGACATTTAGATCAGTAACTACTTTTAAAAAAGGTTTCCTTCAAGTGAGAAAAGCTTACTAAGATCAGTTCTATTTTGATTGTCTTAAGCATTTAATTATCCTAAATTATCATACTTTCTTTAATCCTGACAGCTTGAAAATTTTTTGTGCACGATGCTATTTACATGCTCTAAAGCAGGACAGGATTTCAGAACACATTTTTTCCCATTTATTTTTCCATTCCAAAATGTAATAAAAAGAAGGATCTGAATGTCTTCATGGAGAACCAATTTAGCGTATTTCAATAGGTCATTTGTATCTTCCAGGAAAATATATCTATGCTATAGAAGACTGTTTCTTCCTTTTTGTTTTTTAAGAATTATTTATTTAATTTTATTTATTCATTCATTTATTTTCATTTGACCAGAGAAAGACAGACACACAGGGAGAAGAAAAGTGAGAAAGCAAGCCTTCAGGTTCAGGACTTGAACTCTAGCTGGCCATGTGGGAGTGTCCAGTGCATTTACCATCATGCCACCTGCTGGCTCTATAGAAGACTGTTTCTAAAGGAATTGTGTTTTTCTTTTCTTTTTTTGGAGAGGATTTTGCTATAGGGCATATGTACTCACCAGAAGGATACAGAGAGAGACATAAAGACAGAAAATGAGAAATCACCCCCCAGGGGGGATGGCCATGCAGCAATCCCTTCTCCATTCTCCTCTCGGGATCTTGGGCACGCATGTACACGAGTCCAGCGTGAGCTTAAGCCACTAGGTCTGAGACTCCAACCGTGGTCAACTACACAAGAGTCTTTATGCCAACTGCTGGAATTGTTTTTTTCTTTTAAAAACCCCATGGATGGAGCTGGCAGGTGGTGTGGTGGTTAAGGGGGCTGGATGCCAACATGGCCGACCACAGTTTGAGCCTCAGACCTGGAGTCTTGCATTCTCACTTTCTCTCTTGCTCACTCTCTTTCTCACTCTGTCTCTTTCTGGTCAAATTAAAATAAATAAAATTAAGTTTAAAAAATAATATTTTAAAAGAGAATTATTTACTTAATTTTATTTATCCATTATTTATTTTAATTTGACGAGAGAGAGAGCCATCAGTATGTCATAAAAGCACAAACTAATACTTAAAACCAGAACAATTGATTTGAAGGTCAATTGGAAAAAAAAAATAAAATAAAAAAGAGAGACAGGAGGGAAAAAGGGAAGGGAGAATATACATACATTTTTCATGGAGAAATATTTTTTAGACATTCTTAATGACTGGGCTGGCTCAGGGCCTCGTGGTTAAGGCAGCTGAATCCCACACGACTGGCCACTTGGTTGAAATCCCAGACCTGGTGGCTTGAGAAACATGCCTGGCTTGTGTATGTGCATACCAAAAATCCTAAAAGAAGGGAGAAATGGAGAAGTGATTGCAACATGTCCATTCTCCATGTGGGTTGCTGTCTCTCTCAGGCAAACTCATGCACCCCCTAATTTAAAAAGACAAAAATGCTAATTATTAACAAGACTATCATTTTCTCTTTTTCTTTTTCTCTTGGTAGAAGTTTTTGCTATAGGGTGCGTTTGCTCCCTGGGAGGAGAGGTATTTTCTTGCTTTCCCATATTTCTTGTGACCCTGTGGTGATTTCTAGTCATCTGATGGATGGTGTGTTTCTTCCTAATTCTTGAAGTTCAATCTGAGCGTTCAGGAGTGTGCAGAAGGAGGTGATCTGGAATCTCTTTGCCATTCCATTTTTATTCCTTTGTGCAGCAGATTCAGTGGATATTGAGGAATATGTTAACCCTAATAGTATTTGGATGTTTGGCTATGCTTCCCTTAGAAACACAAAGAATGGAGATTGAGGAGAAGAGTGATGAGATAAAAGAAAAAGAGAAGGAAACAGAAAGAAAAAAGGGAAAAACAAAAAGAGAGAAGAAAAAAATTTTTTTTAATTATTAAAAAATAAAGGAATAAAACCATGTGGCACGCAAGCGCTCTGCACAAAATCACTAATTCTCAGGAGCCATGGTGTGCGCACTTGCTAGAAAGAGCAAGAGTGGGAGAGAGAAAAGCTGAGGAATCACTCTCCAATGGGATGACCATGTCACAGTTCCTTCTCCATTCTCCTC